TGTTGGAAATACTTACGATATCGACACCTTTATCACTTAATGAAATAAGAAACTAAGACCTGAGTCCTTTAATAAAATTTCTGGGAAAAACTAGGTAGCAAGTTAAACAAAAACAAAAAAGAACACAGAATATAAGAAAAATCAAGTTTCCAAATTGTCACGGGATTTATTTTTAAAGATTCTGGCTTACTATTTTCGAATATGTTGTGAGTAATTCAATCCAGGTTGTCAAATATTACAGGTATTTTTGATAGCCAAAGGAGAACAGAGAAAAATGGACGGCTGCCATACTTTCAGACAGTACAATGTACCACAATCTAAAAATGTTAAAAATTAGTAAGAAATTTTTAAAAATGTGAAGAGGGGTTTCCATGTCTCTGATAACCGTGAAGGTACAGACTCAGAGAACTGGCACAAGCACTTTTTGAAGGAAGGCCAAAACCAAAAATCTTGGGAGAGTAAGGCTTACCTATCTTTTATAGGGAGCAAGGCTCTTGAAGGGGGGTCCCCAAAGAAGACGCCTGTCACAGAGCCAGAATCCTGTCCTCACAGCAGAAAGGTTGTACTGGGTGAACAGATGAACAGAATAAAAATTAGCTTAAAATACACCATTCTTTTAACAACTTGGCTGTGAAAACTCAGAGCGCCAAGAGTAAAGAATGTGCAAACCTCGTCATAGTTCACAAAGATTACGAAAGCAAGTTGAAGTCTAAATGGATGAGTATAGTGATTATTCAACTTTGCCTTCCAACAAAATGTTTAAATGGTTTTACAAGGTTTCATAATTCCTCTGATCAAATTAAGGAAGAATTCTGGGTTTTTAAAAAAAATGTAATTAAAGAGCACAAAACTTCCACATTTCACCCTTCCACCACTACCAATTAATCTCTCAAAATGTTCGAATCTATAGTTCACCAAGAATTGTAACTGGATACCTTGCCAGTTTGACAAATATTGTAGCTCACTCAACATTCTACTTCGTATTTGCCTTCCAGCTACAGAGGCAGGAAAGCTAACAACTGGATGTCACAGCTTCCCTTGCAGCTAGAGACAGCCAAGGAACAAAGTTCTGGCCAACGCGAAGTATGCAGATGGAGATCTCTGGTAAAAGGCATCCCTTCTGGGAAAAAAAGGCAAACTACCACTAGGAGACAGCCCTTGGCTCTGCCCTTCTTGGATACGGGTACAATGCCTACAGGTCAATGATCGTCTTAGGATGATGAGGTTAAAGGTCACATGTTAAAGATGGCAGATCAGAATGAGGAAAGGTGCCCAAATCCTTGATTCCTTTCTTAACCTGCTGTACTGGCCCAGAACTGCCTATTTGTGGAGCTCTTGTCATCAAAGAAAATAAACTGTTTTGACATTAGTAAGGTTTTTAATTACAGCTGGAAACACTCCTGACACATGGGACTATCCAGATAAATTCTAAACACTTAGAAGGTAAAAATTCATTTGTTTTATATTTTTCTAGAGATAAGAGTGTGCTATAAAAGGACTACAGGAAACAAAACTAAAGTGTTAGAATTTAAAAACAAAAAACCCAGAAATAAAGTATCCTTTCAAGCATCTGAAGACTTAGCAGAACTGCCTTTTTCTCCTGTGTGGGAGGCACTGTGCTGCTTCTTTCTTTTTACTGTACTCTCTATAACTTTTCTAGTAAATTCTCCGTGCCTAAGGTCTACCACCTGTGAATGGCATGGCAGAGCATGGTGTAACTCACAGGTTCATTTTACCAACCTTCCCATAAAGATGCTAACCAATATGGGCTGTTAATACAGGAACCAACTGATTTTGAGAATTCATAGAAAGTAAACCTGTTTATTTTCCTATTTTGTCACTTTAAATAAACTTCATCCACTATTTTCTTCCTAATTCCCAATTCCTCCTCCTACTGCTACTGTAAATATCCAAGAGGCAGGGTAATAAGAAAGTTCATAATCACTATTTTATAAAAGAATTCCCTACTTCACACTCAGAAAGAACATTCTCTTATTTGAGTTAATTTCAAGTAAAATGAGGATTAAAAACCGCTGTGAACCAATGTAAATCACAGAAACAGAGCTACAGGAACGGAGAAACTCAACCACAATTAACAGCTTTTTAACAATTGTCAGCTAACATGCTAAATGTGATATATTTTCTTATAAGAGACTTTAAAAACTGCCAAGTCTGTTTTAATGATGCAGATTTTAAAATGCTACATTTTAAAACCAATGGATTTACTTGTAAATCAAGCATCCTACTCTTCCACACAGCTAAAGTTAAAGATGAAAATCAGCAGGTGAATGCAAAATATTCAAGCTGGCCAAGGGACAATTACAGCTGGAACTGGGTTTCAGCTTAAGATTCTAACTTCACCCCTATCATAGAGATTATGTAGCCCAATGTCCCCAATTTACCGAGGAAACAGTAAAGTTGATCTACTCAAATTCATAGTTACTTACTCCAAAAATCTAAAATAGAATAAAAACTGATCTTACTGGGAAGGTCTTTTATTTATGAAAGAAAAACTAGTTTCAGGAACTAGAGAATAAATTTTAATAATTTCCTGTCAAAAACTACCAGAAAAATTCCATCTACAAGCAATCCACAAGTTTTCTGATCATTCTGAAACTCTTTTCTTTATGGTGTTTTTGGTCTCACAGCAATGACCAAAAATACCTCCATTTATAAAGTTCTTAACAAGGTTGCCACCTGTGAGTCTTTATAGGAAGGAAGAATAAGAAAACACAAAGATGCCACAGAATTAACATTCCTTCCCCAGCACTTACCTTTCAAAGGCAATCAGAGCCTTTCACAGAAACTGAATCAGCGATAAAAGGTTTTTGAGAAGGACAGCCCTAAATATGAAAGGGTCTCTCCAGAGCCATGAAGAATACCTAAACTCGCTGCAGAGAGATTTACCAGGGGTGAAAGAAAGACTTTAGTCTGGACCTCCCTGGAATTGTATTTGATGAAGTCTGTCATACCAGCTCACGCAGAAGAATCTCTCAAATAAAACATAACTTTCAGAAAGTCCGATTTTATATACTTAATGTCTGTAAAAGCACTTCTGTGTTATCTCTCACCTCCACCCCAGATGGACTTTCAACATTTGAACTTAGTTTCTAGCAACAGACCCTAATTTATGGGACAGCAGAAACTAAGGCTTTGACTTATGACGGGCTAATTCCACTTGTGATCAGCATCCAAGAAGCAATATAGTTACAAATAAATTAGGGGCCATCTATATTTACAGACGTCAACTAACTCTATTTAGAACAATGGGACAACAATCTGGGAAAAAAACAGTTTAAGTGAATGGGTACAAAATATCCTCCCTTTCTATCCTCCACCTCTGCAATGACAGGAAGACTGGATTTCTTAGCAATCTTCCTAGGGATACAAGGTCATCTTCATACTAATATTAACTACAGCAGCACTGGTCATTTACTACAACTCTGTGAGGCTGGGACTACGATATTCCCATTTTACAGATGGGAAACTGAGCTACAGAGAGTTTAAATAACTTGCCCAAGGTCAGACAGTGATACTCCAAGGCAGTGCTGGAATTTGAACCTAGACTCATAACCACATGGCCTCTATGAAAACAGTTAGATGCTTATATTTTATGACAACTTTTCACAGTACAGCTCTGTCCTTAAAAAGGGATGAGGAAGCATAGTGAATGGCACACAGTATAGACAGCCAAAAATTTGCTGAATGAGAACCACCACTACTATAAAATCGCCACTATTATACATATAAATATGTTCTTCTCCAAAGTGTCCTTAAAATCCAATCCACAGACACCTCAGTGCTGAAATTACTCATCTTCCTTCATGTCAAAAATATACTGTTTATGAAGCACCTGGTAGACTTGTAACATTTTTAAATTTATGAAGTATTTCATACTTAGCTCTATAGAAGTCTTCATAAAACCCGACATTAAAACTAGTTTGAATCTTAAACACTTCAAGACAAATACACACTAAATACACACACATGACATCAGAGTGCCACCCCATCCATATCCCTCTAACTCAGTGGTTCCCAACTGGACGTGACTCTGCCCCCTGGGGACACTTGGCAATGTCTCCAGACATCTAGGTAGACACCTCCGGGTGTAGGGGATGTCACTGCTTCCAGCGGACAAACATTTAATGCACAGGCAACCCCCACAACAAAGGATTATCTGGCCCAAAACGTCAAGCTGACATTAACCAAGCTTCTAAATAAGACAAGGGGGATTACCCAACTTAGAGTCGAGTTCTGACCTGAAGAGGGCACCAAAAGGAAGTTAGAAGAGTCTCCCCAAACACTATTAACAGTAATAGGCCCCCATTTTGTGCCCACTCCCCCAATCTACCTGACCAAAGACACACATCAGCAGAGGGTAAAGTTAACGATTTTAATTGCGTCAGCAGCTCCTCTCTTCATTAAGTTTCAATTTGGAAGCTAAAGTCTCAATATTTTACAAATAATTCCAAGTAAGAGAAAATGGAAGGCATTCCTAAGTGATACAAAACTTCACCCCAATCAAATGAACCAGAAATATTGTCAATCTCATTAAATAATCTCCAAAGAGGTGAGGAAAAAACAGTGGTCTTTAAGCCCTTGCTTTCTGCATAAAACAGAATTAAATGGTTCAAGTCAATGATAAAACATTATTATGAGAAAAACTCTCCAAGAACCCACTCCTATGTGTTCCTGTTCAGGATATGCACGCCACCCCCTTGTCCTCCAGGTCCGGCTCAAGGCCCACTTCACACCCTGTCCACACCAGCCTCTCTTCTCCAACTTACACTCCGGCCTAGCAATGAATTTAAAAACTCCTTCATGGAGAGAAATAGGTTTCCATGTAACTACTTCTGTATTTTCAGAATTAACAACCAATATATGGTCCGGTGGAGAGTTGCTAAAATCTATGTTTTCTGGCTTTACCTATTACATAGCAAGAATATTTGACTCTTTTCATGAGAAAGAAATGAGGAAAAAAAGGGAACAAAGCATTTCACCTCCTCTTCACTTTCTTTATCTTCATCTGAAGATTCTTCCTGCGTTTTCTTCTCATCTTCATCACTACTAGATTCATCCGACAGAATTTCAGGACATTTGGTTCGCTTGGCCTTCCTTGCCATTCCAGAACTGTTCCGTTCCTTTTTGCTGCCTTTACTAGAAGTTTTTTTGGATTTTGGCAATGGCTGCATAAAAAAAAAAATATAAAGATAACACCAATGAAGTACAACCATGCATCATTTAATGCCCATGATACACAGAATATTATGCGATTTGGACGCTGTACAAACACCGTATCATATACAGGCAGTCCCTGGGTTACACACCTAGCCCTGCTCATTGTCCCACCTGCCTGAAGAGCAGGGGCAGCCCGGGCCGGCAGCCCCTGCCCCCGCCTGCCCACCAGACAAAGTCCGAGAGCTATATCCACTGGATACAGGAGGCCAGCCGTGCCAGGTGCGTAGGTGCCCATGGGGCAGGGGCTGCGCTAGCAGCCAGATCAGGGATTTGTGCTCGTCTGGGGTGGGGGCACAGAGGGAGGTGGCTGCAGGGAGCAGGCATGCCGGAGCTGAGAGCATGGCTGGCGGTGGTGGCCCTGGCTACCGCTGCCCTGTTGGTGCAACCACCACCACTGCCCAGGGCCGGGTGGTCTGTGACCGCCCTGGCAACCTGCCAGCACACGAGGCAGGACAGAGGAGCCGAGGCGGGACGGACGAGCCGAGGCCGGATGGAGGAACCGTGGCGGCCAGCCGGGTGAACGAAGACAGACTGGAAGGAGGAGGAAGCAGAGCAGGAGGTGCTGAGGGATCGGGATGTGCCCTGGAGCTCTGCTGTTCACTTGCTCTGGGAGTTTGGGGTCTTTACAATCATTAAGGGGAAATGCTAAACAAAAGAGCTGCTTTCCCTTAAAAAACAAAACACCTTACCGGACCATAGATGTATATGTGGTTGGACACTGCCTGACTCAACACAGTGCATGACTATTTCCAATCAACTGTTTTTAATAATTCTCAACTCAATTTCTTCTTGTTCCTATCTCAAAAAACTATATTCACAAGCTTAGCAGCTTTACAGAGAATTAATTCGTTACTTTAACATGTCAGCTTAACCAAAAAATTCAGTTTTACTACCAGTAATACCCTTTTGATTATAAACACTTAACAAAAACAAAAAACCCCATTGCCGTCAAATTGATTCTGATTCACAGTGGCTCCACAGGACAGAGCAGAACTGCCCCGTAGGGTTTCCAAGGAGCAGCTGGTGGATTCAAACTGCCAACCCTCTGATTAGCAGCCATAGCTTTTAACCACTGTGCCACCAGGGCTCCACTTAGCAAGACTCTTCAGGTATTGAAAGGAGTTATGTATTCTAGGTTCTAACATATGACTAGAAGCCCAAGTACACATTGTGTTAAGCTCAGCTGCTTACACTTTATTACATTACTGAGTTAGACCTGTAATTATTTCATTCTTATAAAGCACTGAAACTGCTGCACCCAGGTGAAGGGGGAGTTTATAGGAATGGTGGCGGAATGCTTTGGATGAGGACAGCGATCGACACTGTTGGCACAATATGAAAACGTAATCAGTGTCACCGAGCTAGTACTGTGGAGGTTGCTGTGTTGGTGTGTTTTCACCCTAATAAAGGAAAACACCTCACAGCCGGAGGAGCTCCTTGCTTTAAAGGACCCTTCAATCCAAGGGTTGGGAGCAACCATCCATAAAGAAAATGAAACCTGACCACTAATTACACATCTTGAATCTGTGAACCAACTATATTGTTTATATTCATAACACTCTGGGCTCTACTTTCAACATAAAACCCATAACCAAGACCACTGCCATCGAGTCCATTTCAACTCACAGCGATCCTACAGGACAGAACAGACCTGCCCCACAGGGTTTCCAAGGCTGTAAATCTTTATGGAAGCGGACTGCCACATCCTTCTCCCACGGAGCAGTTGATGGGTTCAAAGTACCAACCCTTTGATTAGCAGCCGAGCACTTTAACCACTGCATCACCAGGGCTTCTTACTTTCAGTATTCCCTATCATGTTCTTGCCAATGCAGTGAAGTTAAACTCTAAGGATGTTAATTATGAAAACTAATTAAGGATCACAAAAATAATCGTATTGCTATTACTTTGATAGTCAATTAAACTATGCAATTTAAAAAGCACAGTACATCACTTGAGAAAAATGATTTGATTCCAATAACCAACGAATTTAATTTTTAAATGCTTTCTTAGGAGAGTATCTGCTAAATTCTGAAACTGAAAACCGTAGAATAACTATGTATAATGAAAGGATCTGAAAAGATTTATACTAAGGAATTATTATTATTTATTCTTGAAAATATGGGTATCTTTTATGTCCTTGGAGCTCTGGTGGCACAGTGGCTAAGAGCTCGGCTCCTAACCAAAAAGCTCGGCAGTTCAAACGCACCAGCTGCTCCCTGGAAACTCTATGGGGCAGTTCTACTTTGTCCTACAGGGTTGCTATGAGTTGGAATCAACTCGATGACAATGGGTTTGGTTTGGTTTTTATGTTCTTAAATTTCTGCATATATTATTTTTTCTAATTAGCAAAAACATTAAGGGAAAAATCCATTTATCAAGACATATTCAATTGTGTAAATGTTTGTGGTAATATTAGGTAAATCTTTCGTGAAACTAGCAGAACCACAGGTCCTCTCTCTCACAGGAACTCTGAGTCTTCTTGAGGTCACTGTCACCTGCACAAACATTAAGAAAATGTGGCTGCTTTGTACCAATGTAATATTCTAAGGCCGTCTACAAACAAACCACGGCATAAATGGCTCAAAGCTTCTAAAGGCAGACTGGGAAACAGCCAATATCGGTCACTCCAGAAATCTTAAGTTAGTGGACCAACCAAAGAATTTCTCAGAGTGGATTCTTTACAAGAAACTTCCTTGAATATACGTAGGTATCCTTGCGATCTCAACAGCTAGCATTCAGACCCAGGAATCAAATCCATTTGGGCAAATTCTCCGCTGGCTTTATTTGGAGAAAAAGTGAGTCACTGGAGTTCTGGTGGTGTATAAAATATCACAATTATCTGAAAGGGCTTTTAAAATATTCTTCCTTTTTCTAACTACATCCTGTGAGGCTGGACTTTCTTCTTATACTGCGAGCAAAACAATACACTGCAACAGACTAAACGCAGCAACAAGACATTGAAGAGATTTAAAAGAACATACGCTAACTCCCAGAGATCACGCTTCACCCAACAACAGGCAGGCCTACGGTGAAAACCACCACCACGAGGGAAGTGCTCCTCAGAACAATCAACCACACGAGACCAAAAGGGCAGCACCTGCCCAAAAACGAAGTTCAGAAGGCAGGAAGGGGTGGCACAAAGATGGGCGAATGGAAATGAGGAACTCAAGGAGGAAGTGGGTCCTGTCACACTGAAGGGACTGCAACTAATGGCAGGAAAAAGAATGTATCTAAATTGTTAAAAAAAAAAAAAAAAAACCCCACAAAGAATCATTGCCTTACACGAACTAGATCCTATATAAACACCAGGGAAAAAACATAAGCAAACAAAGGCAATGCCTAATCATGCTTAGAACATTAAAAAATTTTTTTTATGGAATTAAAAGTTTAAACATTTTTATATTTAAAAATTAATTACTGTCTCTCTCCTCTCTTTTTTGAAAGTATAGTATTTTTTTGTACAAAAGATTACTTGTTAATATGTAATGGGCTTAATACTGTTACTTAGAAATTCTTCAGTTTTAATTTCCAATCTAGTAAATATCAAAATAATCCACAGAAACAAAAGCTCCTGGGATCCTCATTAATCTTAAACAAGGTAATGGAGTCCTGAGTCTAAAACGTTTGAAAATCGCTAAGAAAAAGATGAATATAAACATCTCTCTCCTAATTCAGGCAACTTAGTAACTGTTCCTGGTGGAACACAGACCAATTTGCCCCATAACATTCTTCAAAAGTACAGGTGTAGTCACAGTGAACATTTGGAAAATAAAAAAATAATCTCTCATCTTTAAATAAGCTGATTTGAAACACCAAAACAAACCATGACAGCCCTTGGCTTGTACCCCTGGGCTGCTGGACAAGGGTAACCCTGTTATCGGTGATCAGCACCCAGAGCACACGAAACCAAGTCCTGGAGTGGGTTTCTCGTTTCTACTCTTCATGCCTGCTCCCCTAGCCAGGTGGTGTTCCCCTCAACCACCAGGCCCACTACACCTCTTCACTTTCTTTCCTATCAAAATGAGAAAAAACATGAAAACCTTTGCTGACAGACTTACTACAAACTGAAAATGCAAGGTCGTGTAAGTAAAACTTCAACAGACATTGTTAGTCACTGATGTTGGTTGTTACTGTTAAATAATTAGGGTAAGCCTAACTTAGATTTTAGGAAGAATGGAAAACTAATGTCATTTTACCACCTGAGCTCTGCTGAGGACTCTCCCAATCCAGGAAATGTGTGAGAGCCAGCTTTTTTGGTTGTTTTTTCATGACATTATTCTAACATCTAGAAAATATCCAGTTCTAATATACTCCACATTTTGTCTTTCTTGACCTGATTATAGGTTGCATCTGCCAACCGAATACCTCAACCCAACCTGTTCCTGTCCTTCCAGTACTCTCTAGAGATATAACCCTGGATACCTATTTTGTATTTTTTTGCCCCATCTAAGTTTAATTTAATTAACAACTACTTTTCTTAATCTAATATCCTTTATATCTATGGAGCATATCCCTATGCCTCCTACATTATTTCTGTCATGAAACTGTTGAAGGTATGCCGACGGAAGGCCTATTCTTTAAACACAGGAAATATCACTGAATGCCAACAGTAATGATGCTGTTAACTAAATTACTGTTTTATAAAAAGTGTGAAGAGGCAATAAATTACCAATTGCTATGAAAATAGTACAAAATTGATTCTCACTTTGCCAGAAGGCTTTGGATGCATTAAGAAATTCAAGATCCGCTTCACCAGTTCACTATTTACACCTGATCTCTCCAAATCAAGAACCTCACAGATGCTCTTTAACATGGCATTTCTGAATCTGAAACAGAAAACGGGAGAAACCAAAGTGATTATGCAGGAAAATTTATTACCATTCTCCACAACACAAAGGCAACAGCCAACCAAATCCAGTCTGCTCAGTTACACACCTAAAAAAAGCAGCCAATCTTTCTCTGAACTTTAGAAGTATTCCTAATTATCTTAACTAGCATACTAAATACAACCAGATAGTTAACAAACTGAGAACACGACTTACCAACTAAAAGTTTAAAAGTAATGTAAGAATAAACTAAGTCGATTTACTAGAAAACTATGCAGCATTATACTTTTCAATACTATAAAATTCAGGGAATTAATCCTTCACCTAATGATTAAATATTATTTTTCCCCTCAGCATTCCTACGATAACGTTTCACTGAAGGAATACGTAATCACCTGTGTTATTTAAAGCTCTTAAACTACAAGGATTTAATAAACAAAAGCTCTAAGAATGTACTATCTAGCTTGCATTATTCTGAAGGATACTGTTTCCATCAAATTCATTATCTTCAAAATGTTTATATGGTACCTACAAAGAAGGGAACAGAGTGACCGAGGACAGGACTGGGAAATATTTTTCACTATGTTCCCTTTTGGAACTTTGGAATTTCAGGCTACATGAATGATTTCCCAGGATCAGTCTTCTAGGGAAGAGAAATTTCTTTAAGGGTTTTTAATAATCTTGACATACGCTGTCTATTGGAAACTAATACATTCCACGTTAATAGTTACAAAGACAACTCAAGTCTTGACATTTAAAGCAAAGAATTAATCTACTGAAAATATGACTAACCATATTCAAATGCTAGAAAAAAAATTTGAAGTACACTGAAACATGACATTTACAAAAATAACTTACTTTTTCAACATTTCTTCCTTCTTTTTATACTGGACACTTCCTTTTTCGAATGGAAAGCCACTGAACTGACCCACATTCTTCTTTAATGAGGACACCTGAAAACGTTTGTCTTATTAATGCTACATATTACCCAGTAACGTACACAAGAAAAAATTAAAAGTCAGTATCCGTCTCCAAGTTATGTTTGTTTTTTCAACATTTCATTCTGAATTGAAGTTATGTTACTAATATGTTAACATTATAAAAGATCTACAAACTTAATTCTTTGAAAAATCACAGTATGAATCTAAATAAATTTCCATCTGAGAATTTTTACTGGTAATTATAAAACCACAACTAAATGTTACCTGACAGCACCAAGGGATATGCAAAGTTCCTACCTAAAAAGATGGTCCCCTTCCTAAGTAACTAATACTTTCAAAATCAGAAGTCGATGATTTTACTCTTTGAAACGTAAAAGAAAAGAGAGCATCCCCAAAAGTTAGTATCATTGACTAGTTAGGGATGTGTGTAAATTAATGAGGATACAACGGAATAATACATGTGAAAATAAACAATACCATGCTTCAGATGTTCTACTGTAACAATGTCAAACTTCACCTTGCCCATGCACAACCCAAAGCAGCTTCCTTAATTCTCCAGTTGTGTCTACAGTCAAATAACTGAGTAAATGGAACACTGATCTATTCTAACAAATCCTTCTGCAAAGAATTATCACGTTATTTACCAGACATTTGCTTAAAATGAGATACAAATGTACTGAATCACTTACTCTGAACGGCTAGAACATCCAAAAATAAATTTCTTCTAATACATTTAAAAATCAATAAAATTGAAATTTGGATTTCATACTTAGAAATTTCAGTTCTGGATAAAAACAACTGCAATAAAGAGTCCTGGATATTACACCCCTAGCTGCTAAAAATCAGCTGTGTCCTGTGACAAGTCATTTAATAAGTATGCGTCTCAGTTTGTTCACTTGTTGATTGCTAAGGTCCTTTCCAGGACTAAAATTATGCTTCTATCGTGAAGTAGAGTTCAGCTGCTAACCAAAAGGTCAGCAGTTCGAATCCACCAGGCGCTCCCTGGAAACCCTACGGGGCAGTTCTGCTCTGCCCTATAGGGTTGCTGTGAGTCGGAATTGACTCAACGGCAATGGGTTTTTTGGTTCGGTTTACTGTGAAGTATTTTAATACATAAACAGGCTACTAGGTTAGAAATTAAAAAACAAAACAAAACCAGACAACTCTTACCGTGCCAGGTCTGTTGTAAAGCAGTTTGTGTAGATTTCGAAGTTCATCTGTTTTCTTCTTACTCAGAAAGAAATGTATCCTTTCAATTTCACAAAGTTTCTGCCCCTTTCCTAGAAAAAAATACCAGATTAAACACCCACTGCTTGTTAATACTATACCAAGTTACTTTTAATGAGATTTTACAGCATAATTTACATATAACTTTCGCTCTAATAGGGTAGGTTAAAGAAAATTATATGAAAAGTATAGTTCTACTTACCAGACTCTAAAAATTATGCACTACTAACATTTTGTATATTTAGGCATTTTCACCACAAAATGAAAGGAACACAGAATAAACTTACCTTGTGCAATTGTAAATGGTTCTCTCTGTAAGGAAGAGACTTGCATTGTCAACCTCTCTACTTTCTTCTTTTCTCTCTTGCCTTCCACGATGAGACTTTTTTCTAGAAATTAATTTGATATTTCTTAAGTAACAGAAAGCTTAAAGAATACCTATTTATTAGATAAACATATAGAAAAAAATCCCAAAATACCAAAAACCAAACCCACTGCCATCAAGTCAATTCCAACTCATAGCGACCCTACAGGACGGAGTAGACAGAATTGCCCCCTAGGGTTTCCAAGGCTGTAAATCTTTATATGGAAGCAGACTGCCACATCTTTCTCCCACGGAGCGGCTAGTGGGTTTGAACTGTCGACTTTTTGATCCCAGAAACCTAGTATCTAACTCTTCTCCTGGGTAGTTTTAAAAAGTAAATGATGAAAACACTTGATAAGTTAACAGCACCACTGAAGGTTTTTTTTTAGAGTAATATGTTACTCAGCTGGCAACCTCACAGGGGACTCGGTTTAAAAAAAAAGAAAATTCAGAAGAACAAACTTTTATGAAAGCACATTTATTGCTATGGAAGTCCATTCACTTTATGTACTTGTAAAAAAACTACGTAGACCCTCATTTAAGCCTATTTGTATAGACATGATTCCATAAACTATGATTCATGGTTTAGTATACATTAGAAACAGCAAGTTTAGATTAAGAACATAAAAGCTTCAAAAGATATACAGAGAATACAATAATTTAGTAAGCCAACAGAAGCGATAAAGACAAGGACCTTGAGACTAAGGCTTTGAGCCGTGTCTTCCTCTCTTCCCTATTTAGTTATAGCCAAGGAAGCAAAACCAGAACAGACCTGAATTTTTAAAATGTGGGTGAACCGGAACAATAACTAGAATGGGAAAAATTATGGGTCGAAGTCCTGACAGAAGCCTTATCTCTTAGAAAACAAGGGCAGCATATGTGTTGCATAGCAACCAAATCTCTTGCCCAACAGAGTTTGCAACAGCAGTGCCCTACTCAAAGATGGCAGCCAACCACACAGCTGTTCATGTGTGTAGCTGCCAGTAATCCAATCTCACACATCAGGCTCCTAAAAGGGCCCTCTACACCTCTTCTAAGTCCCCCATTCCAGGACTCTGACTTATAATTTTTCCAGATCAACCAAACTGTAAAAATTCAGGTCTGTTCCAGTTTTACTTTTATCAGCCATGACTGAACCAGTTTAAAGCCCTGCTCGAGGCAGAGCAGCCTGGAGTTAGAGTGGGTAGGGCAAATTCTATATGATTACATTTACTGCAACCAACTGGGAAGGCATTCTTTTATTATGAACAAATTACATTAATAATGATGGCCATAATTTACCCTGAAAAAAGTTAAATTATGTTTAGTCTGAACTGCTTTAAAAAAAAAAAAAAAACAAACTTGGAAATATATATTTTGAAACTTAAAACATCAATCCTGATTCACCTAAAAACATTCACCTACTGACTAAAATAAAGCCTGAGGACACTATAAATATATATACACACATATACACCTATCTATATATATATAAGTAGAGATGCATAAATAAATATATTGAAGGCCTGGTTTGGTTTGTGCAAAGTTGTACTAGATACTAAGAGGGGACAAAGAAACGACTAAGACATCGAATACCTCTTGAAAGAAAGCACATCTACTAGAGGAAATGAGATACAAATACACTCCAGTGTAGAAGATGATAAAACACCTTAAGATAAAAATAAAAGTTCAGTACATTGAGGAGGGAGTTATTATTTTGGATTAGGGAAAAAGAATCAGGACACTGGAGCTGCATAACTGTAGGTGATGCTTATATATCAATATAGACAATAGAGCACATAAGGGCCACAGTCAGGGCAACTTCTTAGGCATAACCAAGCACTTTGTGGGACAAAGTTCCCAGGCGCCAAGGACCATAGACACGGGGGATATCTACATCAACTGGCACAACACAGTTCATAAAGACAAAGTTCTGCACCCTATTTTAGTGAGTAGCATCTGGGATCTTAAAAGCTTGCAAGTGGCCATCTAAGATACAACCATCAGTCTTTTACCATTCAGAGCAAAAGATAATTAAGAAAATCAAAGACCCAAAGGAGCAATTAGTCCAAAGAGCAGATCAGGCATAGAGGAGCAAGCAGAGATGGGGAAAGGGAGATGCCATGTCACAGGAAGATCACCAAGGAACCAAAGAACAGAAGCTGAAAGAGAGACAAGGAACTGTCCCCCAGAGCCAATAGAGAGAGAAATCCTTCCCCTAGAGCCTATGCCCTGAATTCAAACTTCTAGCCTCCTAAACTGTGAGAAAATAAATTTGTTTGTTGAAGCCAAAGAAAAACAAAACAGTGAAGCTAGCTTTAAGGGACACGCAAGACTTGAAGATGTATCTGCAGATAGAAAAGGTCATCAGCAGGTATACTCTGGCAACGCTGTACAGAATGAAGAGGAAGCACTCTAAAGCAGTCACTGTTATCACTCCACTTCCTTTTCCCGAGTAATCTAAACCATTGCCTTTCACTATCATCTATAAGCTAATGACTTCCCAGATCAACTAATATATACCTGGCCACCAACAGGACAGCTCTACTTCATGTCCTACAGGTGCCTAAACTCAACACATCCAAAACAGAAGTCAGAATCATCTTCAAATTTGCTCACCTCCGTCAATTATTTTTTTGAGTAAATGGTAATACCATGCATGCAGCTGCCTGAGACAGAAACCTAGGTGTCATCTTTGAAACTATCACTCTCTCTTTTACCTCAAACCCCAACCACAAAACCACCGCCTAGTTTGGTCAATCTGACCTCTTGCATGGCACAGATGTCATTAACTTCACTGCTCTGCTTCCATGAGAGCTTAGTAGTGGAGTTAAATTTTCGGGGCTAAACAGAATAAAAACGTTCAAAATTTTGGTTGTCCCACAAATACCTCAAAGGAGTGAAACAGAATAATAATAAATTAGAACTGTATCTCTGTGTGGGGATCATTTTTAAGACAAAACTATCATTATTTAAAAAAAAAACAAAAAAAACACAATTTATTCATCCAGAACAAAATACGGGATTCTTTGAACTATTGCCAATCCCCCAAGCAATGCTATGTTAGCCATTTATAGTATTTTTACATGACATCTTTACTTTTGCTGACGTAAAAAAAATTTATCATCTGTTGTGGTATCCCTAAAAAAAGACTAAAGTATCGACAAAAAATTGGAAGAAAAAGTGCTGAGAAAGTCTTTGACCAGTAGCGAAATTGCACTCAATTTCCAGTTACCGTATTATGAATAATTTAAAAGTAATTTCTATTTTGTTCTATGCGCTTTTGTACTTAATTATGGACACAATCCCTCCTTAAAGGGCATACCACTTTAAAAAAACAAAAGGCATATTTGAAATCTCAATCTCGACTGTATTTATAAGATGCTGACTGTGAACAGCTTTACACTTTAGTCTTAAAACTGACAGTTAAAACTTGGGTTTGGGACAAAAACTTCCAATTGGGTGAGGTGTAAGCACATACCAAGTAAACCTAGACCGGGCTAATATCATCAAAAAAAAAGTTAAGATTTGTGATTTGGATTTTCAAATGGTTAAAAACATCTCAGGAAGTTAAAACAGCTCAAAGGCGCGCCACACCACGCATCTTGCATAAACAGGCACAGTACCACTCCTTAACTCTGTAGCGTTCCTCTGCTTCATGCTTCCAGTCAAATAATCGTTAATACCGCCCTTCCTCAGACCCGGTGGCGCAGTGGTTAAGAGCTCAGCTGCGAACGAGAAGGTCGGCAGTTCGATTCCACCAGCCCACCAGCCGCTCCTTGGAATCTCTATAGGGGAGTTCTACCCTATCCTATAGGGTCGCTATGCGTCGGAATCCACTCCACGGCAAGGAGTTCGCCTTTTTTTGATTTTAACTCAGACTCAGCTCCAAAAATGATAGCTCTGGGCCCGTATTTAACTTTCTTTCTTGGTACAAGTAGCAACCGCTTTCACCGGTGTTTCCCAGTGAAAACTTCCTGAGGCCTTTGAGGCGCACCTCTGCTGAAGTTCAGCCAAAAAAAAATTTTTAATTGAAATACTTCCAAGACTAGTATAAATAATTTTTTCGTCTTAAGATGAGCTTTCTCGGAAGAACCTGCAATAACTTCACACAGCAAAACAGATGCGTAATTAACAAAAGATTACAAAAATATTAACTCAGCAACTTTAAAGGTTAACACACACACTGATTAAAAAAAAGACCTTACAAACTTCCTGTCAAAGATGAAACGCTAGAACGCAGACCGCTGGCAAGAAGTCAACTGCACGCCCAGATTCCTAACAGCAATGCAAACATGCATCAAGGCGAACGCTGGAATTCACAAAGCCAATCGAACACGTCGCATGCACTCGTGCTGCACATTACTGTTTTCACGCCTTAAAGCGCAGAAAGAGCGAGACAGCTGTTTGCTACAAGAAAAACTTGCATCTGAAAAATCCATCACGGCAGACGGGACCTGCGCCCACCTTTTTCTTCCTCCTCTTCCTCCTCCTCCTCCTCGTCGTCGTCCTCACTTTCCTCCCTCGCGCCGGGCATCTCGGGGTCCTTCTCAGACGCGGGCTGCGCGGGGGTCCCCTCTCCCTCCACCGCGGGGGCCGAGGACGACATGCCGCTGCCGACCTGCGGGCGGGGAGGAAGCGCGCGGTCTCGGTCCCGGGGCCGCCCCAGGGTCACACCCTCGCCGGCCCCCACGGCGCCCGGTCCTCCAAGTCGCCTCTCCCACAGCCGGGACAGCGGCGCTCCCGGGGCGGGCTCCCTCCCGCTCCGCCCGCCGCCAGGGATCCG